GGTTCTTAAAAACCAAGTGAATAAATAATCTGATTAACAGTATGAACTGGTGATTGTAATAGAATCAAGGACATAGAAAGGGAATGGACGGACTATTCTTGGGGGCGGGGGGGAAGGAGTGTGGGGGTGAGGGAAGAGATTGGACAATAATCGTGCACCTAGGGATGAGGACAGTGGGTGGGGAGTGAGGGCGGGGGTGGGGCGGGAACTGGGAGGAGGGGAGTTATGGGGGAAAAAAGAGGAACAAATGTAATAATCTGAACAATAAAGATTTAAATTAAAAAAAAAAAAATACCAGTGCCATGGTTGTACCCTGGCCCAATTAACACAGAATCTCTAGGATGAGACTGGACTGTTCAGTGGCTTTTTGTTTTTTACTTCCTGTGTGATTCCCATGTGCAGCCAAGTTCATAAACCAACTAGTGGCCCGGTGCATGGATTCGTGCACATTGAAAGGAAATTAATTAGAAGGTGGCCAGTGGTGGTGGTGGGGGGGAGGGCCTGGGTGAGATGGGCTGGACACACCCTGGAGCCAACATCCCATGGCCCTTCCCTGGCCTGCCTCTCCTGGGGTGGCACTGCAGCTCAAAGGGCACCTGCGTAGTGAGTGGGGTCCCCTGGCAGGTGGGGTCCCTCAGTCTGCGGGGATCAGGCCAAAACGGCTCTCCGACATCCCCCGAGGGGTCCCGGAGTGGGAGAGCTCCCTCCTCTCTGGCTCCAGGGTGTATCACCCGAGAACCACCGCTGCCAATCATAGCAGATGGGCAGCTCCTGCTTTGAGCGTCTGCCCCCTGGTGGCCAGTGCGCTTCATACCTACCAATGGGACGGTCGCTTAGCCTTTTATATATGCCTGCACCCTTGCCATGCAAAGTGTGGTCTTCAGATTAGCCACATTGGAATCAACTGGGAGCTTGTTAAGAATACACAGTCTCAGGACACACACACACAGCCCTGCTGAATTAGAATCTACCTCTAAACTTGTTCAGGGCAGTTACACACCTGTTTCCCAAGGCCAGCTCAAGACCCC